TGCAGAAATTTACAAAGCTGTCTACATCTCAGGCGTTCTCTTACTTTCTACTATTTATTTCCTGCTTGCTATTTTTGAAGCCTTGGTAATTGAGGAGTCAAGAAAATGAGAGAGAAAAAGATTACCCAGAGTGTGTCACAGAGAGGCCCTTCCAAGAAGTCTGAACTCAATGCTAGAAAAACAAAGCCGGTCCTTTATGACTGCCTCCATATGGCTCAATTCCTCTGCCACACTCCTCCTGTACCACCTTTTCCTAATTTTTTTTTAAAGATATAGTACAGGTAGGGAAAAAAGGTTAAAAAAAAAAGGAGCTACATTACCTCCTTTCTGAGCAAATGCAAGACTCCAGGGCTGCCACTAGCCCATTTGGCACCTTTGGTACACTTTTAAAACTTCTGAAAAAGAATTCCTTTCTTGAGTCACTTTACTTCCACCTGTCAGATTGTTACAATATAACTATACTAATTTTATTAGTAAGAACACTTTTCTGCCACTTGCTGGAAAGTTGTGATAGACAAGTCCCCACTGCCTGTGATGTGAATAGCACCCTTTGGACATGGCACTGTTCTGCTCAGTCCAGTCTTACATGCTGCACTTGGCCTCAGGCTGTTAGCCAAGTTGTGGCTTTGATATATTTTTTTAAGTGTATCAGGGTTATTTAAAAAAATACTTTTTATTTACATACATATAGGATAAAAAGGGAGATGTACCTGAATAAAACAAAAACAAGTAGAAACCACTTGTCTGCACAGAAGAAATGTAAAAAGTTTAGAATTTCAAAAATGTGCAAATGATGCAAGGAATACCGTAAGCAAAAATAAACCCTAAGAATTTCACTGTAGCTAAGGGGTCAAAGTGAGAACTCCAAATAATGCTGAGTGTAACTGAGTGAGAGGACCAATTAAGAACCTTATTTCCTATTTTATGCTAATGGAAAACAAGAAAATAATACTGAAAAATCTAAGAATATTCCTGAGTAGCCTACTGTAAGTTATACAAAAATATAGAGTAGGGTACCAAACACATCAGAAAGGGTAAATATCATTATAGTTTTTGGAAGAAGTAAAAGATGGCGACAACTTGATACTGATCCCAGGACAGGCTCTAACATAGATATTTATTATGATGATTATGTTTTGAAAGTCTTTAGCAAAAAGAACATCTTTCATTATGAATGATGTTCAATCTTATAGTCAAACCTGTCAGCAGGTTCAACTTCATGAACTTTTGGGGGCAGTTACTCAACTAACATTTGAGCAATGCAGGACTTCAGCAGGTACGTAAGATCGCATGATATCCTTATAAATAATCTTGGAGAGATAAGGATTAATCAGTAGATCACTCAACTACTGACCTAAGAGGTGTTAAGACATTGGTCAGTTTGTTGAAGAAAAGTTTCTGAGGTATACAACAGGGCCATTATCCTTAGACTTTTCGTTCAATATATGAGTTTTACATATCAAACTTTAGAGTGATCGGAAAGAAAAAATAGCAAACTTATCTTAGACGAATCTAAAAACACCTCAAGGTTAATGACTGTAACACAAAAAAACTTGGTAAGAATAAACGAAGGTCTTGTAAAGTAGGTTAAAAAAAACACCAACTGCACAAGTGCAGGATGGGGAAATAACATTTAGTAGCAGCAGCAATTAATTAACCTCAAAGGACTTAAAACAGTTTTCATGTGGGTGTCAGAAAAGCTAGTCCAATATCAAGGTTTTAATAGATGGAAAGTATCAACTAGAACAAAGGACATACAGTTTTGCTACCTCCAATTGTTCAGCTCTAGATTTCATCCATTAAGAAAAATACAGAAACCAGAGCATTGGGAGAAAAGGGTCTTGGACGGTAAAGACAACTCAAGTCACAATATATGAGTGAAATAACTGGGGACAGACAAGAGGTTGGGAGTCATTATAATATCTGTGGTAAAATTTTTGGCCCCAAGAGTTAACAAGACAAATGAAGTAGAAACACAGAGAACCAACTAGGACCAGCAGGGCGGCCAAATATGGACATAGATTCTGGTCCCCAGGGAGTCGGAACAGGGATTGCTATAGGACCATCTGGTATTCAGTTTTTTTCAAACTTTTGAATTCCATAAATATGTATTTAAAAATCCATCCAGCTAGTGGATCTTTAATTTATGCTATATTTGAAATGACAATTCTTTAGAACTACTGTGTTAAAACTTTTGAAGATGTAAAACAAATCATTCAGAGTTCTTTACTGGCCACTCTTTATTTCTCAAAGGGAGAAACATTTGTGCTTTTTTATTACAGTTTTACTGATTTTTCTCTCTCTCTCTCTCTCTCTCTCTCTCTCTATATATATATATATATACACATACATATATGTGTGTGTATATATATCTGTATTATAATATATAAGTACAATACGAACATGGATTATTAGAAAGGAATTCCTTCCTTCTCAAAGACAACTTTACACAGCCAACCTTCCAGATGCATTTAACTCAATAGTTTTATTTATATATTAGGTTATCCATCTCTGGAAATGTGTGGCATGAACATATAACAAATTTCCAATTTTGTCTTAAAAATAGGTTTTAATGCACTACAAATTCTAGGCATAACCACTACATAGCTGACATTCTCCAAAGACCACTTCGACATCCATTCTCAGAGTTTACTCAAAACTCAAAATGAGTAAATCCATGCAAACACCAGAATTTGCTATTTCATATAACTACATCATAAAATTATACAGACTTCAAAACATGAAACTTTTCCATGGTTTTCCCTAAATTATCTACTCTGTCAAAAATTGTGCTATATTACTTCCTAGAATATTGGTATCAATTTTCTTTGGAAAAGCAAGAATTAACCTTGGCATACCTTTGTGCTCAATGACCAAATATGTTCCTTTATTCTTACCATGATTTCTTGCAACTTTCAATCTCAGAGTGGAAATACAATCTCTCAGAAAGGGAATGTACAGTAACTGTACAATTATTCATTTACTATTTCCTGATTATATAAAAGTAAGCTAACAAACTGAACTGTAACAAAAAGTGAAAGAGGAGAGCTTACCTAGGCAATGTATCATCCAAAAGTACTATTTTTTGGCCACTGGAAAAAAGTGTCTATGAGAAAATACTTGTGCTGATTTTTTGACTGACAAAAGAAATTCACAACCTTCCATATTCCTAAACATAGGTATTTTAAATAATCTAAATTGAGCTTCATAGTGTCTAATTTAAGGGGATTAAAATTTGTACGCATGTAGAACCAGTTACAAGCCTACTTCACTTAATATAAACACTGTACCTCATTTCAAAAGAGATCTAGGCATCATAAAAACCAGTCACAAGACATTCTTATACAATGAAATCCAGTAACTTTTGACTTAAATGTTGATTTTAGAAGGGAAAAATAATGACAGATAAAAGCCTGCCTTTAACTAGGAGAGTCCCTGGAATAAAATCAAATTACACGGACAGAGAAAAATATGATTTTGAAGTGTAGAATGAGTTTTCTGCCTCCACTAACGGGCTATACAATTAAAGGTTTAATAGCAGCATAAATACTATGATATAACGCATAAATACTATGATATAACATTCGGTTCATTTTTCTTTCAGGTTTATTAAAAAAAAACATTTTGTCCTTGTACTTTTAGGGGCTTGGAAGGTCCTTCTTGTCACCAGAGCGCTCAGCGAATTTACACATGGATGTGCCCAAGACTGCCATCTGGTGGAAATGATAGAAACTGAAGTGATTTTTTGGTAAGTGATTTAAGTTAGTTGTCTACTAAGAACGTACGAATTAAAAATGTATTGGGGAAAAGGCAGTTCATTCATAACAGCAGTAACATAAAATAACAAGGAATTAACTTAACAAATGTTTAAAACATACAGAGAAAACTATAAAACTTTACTGGGGACATTAAAAGGCACTTGAATAAATATAGAAAGATACAGCATTTTCCTTAAATGGAACTCATCTCTGCTGAAAATATCAATCACCCCCAAATTAAACTACACATACAACATTAACACGATTTTTATGTGGCAGGGAAGTTTTGGCAAAATTATTCAAAAGTTCATCTGGAAAAATGAACATTCCATTTTTGTTAAAGTAGACTAATAAGTGGACTCTTTCCCTCCCAAATAAAATGTAATAAAATGGATAATTAAGATGACATACTGATACACACAAAAAACAAAGCAATGAAATAGAATAGCCATAAAAATTCAAGTATATACAAGAATAAAAAGCAACAGAGAATTTCCAAATAAATAAGACTTGCTTATATATTAGCTGGTTGTAAGGTTAATGGAAAATATTACATCAGATTTTCACCCTTCAGTAATACCCGAAGTAAGTTACATTTGTACTAGTCATTAAAAGAAAATATATGTAAATATTTACTTACTCAGAATGTGAAAAGATTGTCTATGTATACAACTGAAGGTTCAAACTGTTAAAATGATAAAATTCTAAAACTTTTGAATGTAAAGGGACATTTCTCAAAACTCATATAACTGAACACCAAAGATCTTTGTGGTTTGCTGTATATAAGTTTTCGTTCAATATATTTTTGAGAAAAGTAAAACAAAAAGTAAACTCCACTATATTTGACTTAAACAGTATTTGGAGGGTAAAGGAATGTTTTTGACCAAGAAGAGCTATTCAGATCCTGGCACCTTAGCTCTCTGTAATGCCTCCCTAAGTCATAGTGACTAGAAAGCCTTTATTCTGCCTATAGGAAAAGCTGGCATAGAAACAAAAAGTTATTGTGTAAGAAAAAGCACAGAAACAGAGTAGCAAGATACAAGATTGTGAGGAAAAAAATCCATGCTATTGAGCTTGTAGTTTTTCTGATATTAGGTCATTTCAGTATTGTTATTTCTATTCAGTATTGCTTTGTTCTTAGTCCCATCCCTCAACACTGTTACTTAAAAAGCAAACAATAATTAATAAAATGTGATGTGTAACAATGTTTGACTTCTTAAATATATAAAGAACTCTCATACATAAGAAAAAAATGATCAATTTATTCATAAAAAAACAACATATGTGAATAGGCCTTAGTAAGAGACATACATGTAAGAGACATACATATAATTACCAAACTATGAGACAAGTAATCATTAGTAATCAGTAACTGAGAATTAAGTCAAGAATATACCATACATTTCTGTATTTTACCCACCAAATTGACAGTGCGCAACAATAGTGAGAAATAAGACATGGGGATTTTTTTTTTGTACACTGTTGGAATCATAAGCTGGTACCCTCTTCCTGGAATGCAATTTAGGACCACTGAATTCATTACTTAGTATTTTATTAATTCAGAATTTTATGAAAAATTCAAACATACAGAAAATTACAGAAAAGAATGTAAAATACCCTTACCTACTCCCCCAATTTAACAGATGTTAACATTTTATCTTTTTTTGGATGGGGTGGGATCTCACACCTCTCAAGTGTCTCCAAAAGAAACCACTGTCCTAAATTAATGTGTCATTATTCCCATGCATGTTTTGCATATTATATATATATTCCATCAACTTTAAGATCCCTCTATTTTATGTACCATTCTTTTATGTACAGTTAAGAAAAAAATGCTGCCAATAAACTATGAAACAATGCTTTCATAACAGGACTGTTTTATACTTACTGTAATGGGTTTTTAAGACTAAAATCTTTTTAAAAATATTAAGCTATGCTTTGCTTACACAGTAACTTTGCTTCTGTTAAATCAGTGTGATCATTTTGAAGATATTTTAAACCTTAAACTTAATACATGTAGTTCCAACAGTGTACCAAACACAATTATGGAGGTGAACTATGAATGGCTATGACCAAGTTGGTAGAACCATGCCACGACTGCTGCCTAGCCAATGGCAACTCTAGACCCCACTGAACTAAGATGCTTCTCAATTTAAAAGACATTAAAATATGCAAAACATCGTAGAATAAATTTTGGAGATTTACATAAATGCCATCCTTTTGGAACTTGCTATTTCTCAGTAGTACATTTTCCACATGTTAAAAGATAGCCTACTGCCTAAGGAAGCAAAATCAATAGCAACTAGCTGCTGCTGGAATACTTATCAACTGGACTAGAGGGTGCAAGTAAGACATTTGCCTTGGGGCCAAAAGAATTCCACATTCAAGTATTTTGACGCAACATTTAAAAGAACCAAAACTAATGCAGAAATCATGAACAAAACACTTAACTTTTAAATACGAACAGAATCATTATTACTGAGTTTTTCCTTTGGCTCAGGCTCCACAGGAGCATGACTGGGCATCATTATTGGTCCAGCCCTATGGGATCAGATTGACAATGTAATACACCACACTAGTTTAAAATGTAAATGTGCAACAGGAACACATAATCTTTATAGGTAGGATACACAATTTTCAGTATTACATCTCCAAGTGGATGCAGGCTGTTATGCATTACATAATGTGGATTATTAATTGTATTTTCATTAAAAGGAACTAAGTTTATCGGAGATCAAGACAATGCATGCATGCCAGGTATCATTGCTTATGAGGCTACAGAAACTAAAATGGTGTGATATTTGTATAAGGTTAGACCAAAAGACTATAGAACAGAATTTAGAAACTAGAAATGGGCGACACATATTTAGGAAATTGGTATTTGACAGGGCCAGCATGGTGTTGGCACAATTAGCTAGCTACATGGGAAAAAATTAAGATTCCATACTTTGCACTACCTAAGATAGTAAATTTAATACAGATTAAAAACCTAAACATATATGGTTGGGGAGGTGGGATAAAGACTTTAAAACTACTGTTCTACAGAGAATGTATGAACCTCAGATGGTGATTTATTACACAAAAATAGCAAAAACCATAAACTAAAAGATTGATAAATAACAAGACTCCATACACAAAAATATAAAGACTGTTTCGTAACACATTCAACAAAGGACTGGTATCCAGACTATATAAAAACCTACAAATAAAGAAGAAAAAGTCAAACCAGAAAGAAAAATGGGCAGAGGATACAAGCATTCAATTCAGAGGAAACTCAATGGCCAAAACATATATATATATATGTTGTTTCCCTCATGTAATCAGAAATGCAATTGAGATACTATTTTAAATAAAGGAGCCCAAATAAACTAAGCTTTTAGATATACTAATGTTACATATATATATATACACACACACACACACACACACACACACACACACACATATATAAACCTTCACCTTAAGTTTTAAATTTTGTTAGTTTATTAGGAGGACTAAGTGTCTAGTTAGGTGGCTGGAGAAGAGCCTGACAGCAACTATGATAAGATGTCACAGCTGAACTAAATTGACACATCTCAAAAAATAAGCTGACTTAAGGAGATTAGGAGATTAGAGTCGCAGTCACTTTTGACTAACAGAACACATTTAAAAACCAAAAACTCAGGTAATAAAGTATCTTAAGTATGATAATTACCAAGCCTCATAATTGGGCAAGTTGTGATAGATATATGGGTGCTTTTTCTTTTAAATAATGCCATGTAACTTTCCCCAACCCTGTGGAATATTCAAAACACTGAAAAAAACTAACAGAAAAACAAAAACAAAAAACACTTTAGCATAAAGCTCTGATCTACTTAAATACCATTAAAAAAAAAAGTTCTGTTTATCTGGCCAACCTGATGTAACATCTCAGTCATGGTAAAAATGATTTTATTTAAAATACAGATTTAAAAATTCAATACAGAAGTGAGCCCTTTTCAAGAAATAACACAAATCTATAACTGAAGGTATCTGAAAAGATTTAAATGATCTGAATATATGCCATATGATAATCAAACTCTATTGTTTAATTCAACTTTAATCCTGAGTTTCCAGTTTAAACCTATCATAGGACTTTTCTGGGAGAAAAAAGTACAGTATTAAAGATTCCATCTTATTTACTTTGCTTTCTAAGTTTCAGTATAACAGTGACCACATAGCCACCATGGCACCCCTGCGCTTCCCTCTGTCAGATCTGCATTTCTTAAGATTCATTTACTATTACAGTGTAATCTTTGGAACAAATAACCACACTAGAAAGCTGTCAGGATGGCAATTCTGAAAGTCTGGGAGTCCCAGAGAACCTTTCAAGGAAGACTGTGAAATCAAAACTGTTTCCTTTACAATACTTATTCTTTCTCAACATACTGAATTTGCACTGGTTTACAGAAGAAATGGCAGGTAAAACTGCAGGCACTTTAGCAAAACCCAGACAACACAAAACTTATTAGTTGCTTTGTAGCTCCACAATCACAATGAACAGAGGAAAAAGCCAGTTTCAGTTTACAATGTCCTTGACTAAGCAGTAAAAAAATAATTTTGTTCCATCTCTATCCATGAGCACACACCTTTTTACTATCCTGCACAATGCAATGGAGAGTACTGGTTCTACAGCATGTGTGAGGGCTGTCTCATGCTATCAAGATGTGAGCTGGACTAGCCACTTTTCACGTAACACCACTTTTACTTCAAAGAGTGACTGACAGAGTATGGCTGTTCAGCAGACATTTACTCTAAAATCAATAAACCTGTCACTTAAAAAAAAAAAACTGACAATATTTGCCAATGATAACATTTAAGCTTTCAAATGAAAATCAGAATTTTGAAAAATCTGTATCCATCACCGTGAGCTTGACAGCTTCGCAATACTTAAAAGATTTTTTCTGTTATATTGACAAAAAAATGTAAACACTGCATAATAATTTATCAATATTCTAAAGAACTGAGTAATTCCATGAACCAGTACTTCCCAATGTTCAAAGCATGATATGTTATGAAATCTTGCAAAAGTAGAAGATCCATTCAAACTGTAAGATAGATCAAATGGATTTTAATGTAACAGTAAAAAGCTGATCAAGTTTCAGATTTCACACTGCAACTAACCTTAAAGAAAAGTTCTCAAGTTTTGGTAATTTATCAAAGAGGAATCCACAGTTATGTGACACTATTAAAATATTCTTTTCCAAATTAATTTGTATGAGCCCAGATTTCTTCATATACTTCAAACAAAGCGCCACATTGCAACAGGCTGAATGCAGAAGCAGATATAACCCACAAGAGCAAAAAGTTCTTTGCGATCTTCAATTTTCAAGAATATAAGTGGGTCCTGAGATTAAAATATCTGAGAACAGCTGGATTAGGTATTTTAGATTAGTAAACATTGAATATAGGTTTTCTTTTGATAAGTTCCACATTATTTGTATTTCAAGAGCCACTAAACTCCCCCAAAAAGAATTTTTAAGTAGTATAAAAATGTTTTTAGAGTAGAGAAGGGGCTAATTAATTAGTACTGTACCATAGAGTTTAATGTCTCTTTGTATAAAATCCCCCTATGTGGTTTTGATGAAAAACTTCACAATAAATATTCTAACTATATAAAATGTTTAAAAATAACATTTAAAATGGACTCTTATTTTTAAAAATCATACCAAATAGTAATATGTCACACTGTTTTTATCAATTCTTTATTTAGGTAACAAGTTGGTTATGTTCACTGCATTGTATGAAACATCACAATATCATACTGGAAAGGTACTATCAGTACAGGGTTGGATCAGAGTGGACAGTTTGAACAATAAACCATTTTGCATTCTTCATTCCCTATCTTTTCACAACCCCCCAAACCCGGTAAAGGGACAAACAGCTTGTAACATCATCATGTAAAGCACTTTTTAACTTACAAGGCTAAAATCTAAAGAATAAATAAAATATACTGTGGCAATAATTCCTTTTAGACCAAAAACCAGGTGCACAATGAATCAAATGATCAGGAAAGCTGTCTGTATTCAAATGTGTGGCTCTCCAGAAACAGCTTCAGGAAAATGTTACAGAAAATACCATGAATTCCATTTCACACAGGACCAGATGATGACTCATTCTAACTACACACAAGGGCAATTACATCCTGCTGAAACACAGTTTAAACATACAGGAAAATGTTTACAAAGCATCCACAACATGTAAACCATGTACAAATGGATACATTCATTGCTTCTACCCTCTTTTAGATAAATATTTAACTCTTCATGTTCAGCATTAATTGGATACATGCAAAACTCAAAAGAATTCAAGGTTATTGTAAAAATAGAATTAAACTAATAATCTTCAAGTACCTTATGTGACAGCCACTCTGTACCGTGCCCAATGTTATAAAATGAAAGGTTACTGAACCCATGAAAATATCTCTGTAATATTCCCTTAGATCTAAAATAGATAATTTTAAATGTATTTATAGTCATTTCAATGTGATATTCTGAGCTTTTAAAATAACGTAAACAATTAAAAATTATATCAAATTACACAAAACTTGTATTTTAAAAGCTGAAAAAGTAAAACTATAGAAACCCACATGTAAAACAAAAATCACAATTTACATTATAAAGGCAAGTATCTTCATTTAAAAAATTTTGCAGTAGTGAGATGTCAAAGCAAATTATAAATAGCCACAAATTAATCTATTTGGTTTCAAAAGATTTTCTAGTGAGAGCTGAAGGATGTAGCAGATACATGCATAAAATTTGTTAAGGGTTTGTAGTATTATTGCCAAATACACTTTATCTTGAAGCAGGCAACATTACAATTTGGACACTATTGGAGAACCCAGTTGGCAATACAGGTAAAATTGAAAAATAATTAAATAACAATTAATAATAAATATAAATCTTATAGTAAATTGCTCAAATGAAATTTCAAGCCACACAGCTGCAGAAGGCTTTCAATTTGATGAATTGAAAAAGAAACATCTCATACAAGTCTTTACTCTTACATGCTTATATGTTGTGTGTCTTGTCTAAAAAAAACCAAAAAACCCAAAAAAACAAAAACATAATGTATCTTCAGAGTACAGCTAACTATATTCCCATGCACCTCAGGCACATTTGTTATTTGTGGTAAAATAACTCCGTTGGTTCCTAGGGTCAAAAGTTCAATACAGATGTAACCAGTATGCCTGAGGGTGGCAAAAAATACTGTAGTACAGGCAATGCTACAAGTGGCAATTATCAGAAAACACAAATATGAACAAATGATGGGAAATGCTAATGATTTTCTGCTCATATCACAAAACGTTGGGAATCCACAAGAATATTTTTCCCTTGTATTGAAGAAAATTGTGATTAAAAGTTTTTTCCCCCAATTTTCAGAATCAAAAGCATTTTAGAAGGTTTATAAGGCTACCATGGGTCTTCTAGATCTCCAGCACCCTACAGGAAGAGAAAAGGAAGAATATTATTATTATTTACCTATACCACTTCCAGGTTGGACTGAATTTCAAAAGAAAACAAAATTAGATGACCAAATTACCTTCCTTTCTTTGTTTGAAAAGGTACTTTTACAGAGAGGTGTGTGTATTGTATATTGTATGCATACACATGATCTATCTAATAAAGATAGATATAAGTGGTTGGGTTTTTTCTCCCCTCTCCACCAAATGCCTTCCTCTTTCTCAAACCACTTAAAATACTCTGGCATTGGAAAAATAGATAAAAACATCAGCTACATCCGAAGATTCCAAAGTTTCAACTTAGGGTACCCTAAGCAACTTCAGGCACATGATAAACATAAACATGAAGAAAAGTTAATGTTCTATATTCACAAAAAAATTGCTTTAAAAAATATTTTCCTGTGTGACTATAATTATTTGTTCTTTAAAATTCCATTTTAACAAAAACAAAACACATCTGCCATTAGTTAAGATATCCTGTAATTCTCGCCTTTATTAGTATGTGATGAATAGTCACAGCAAAATTGACAGTCTTGCAATCTTTGAAATGTTCATCATGGCAGTGTTTGACATGTCTATGTGTGTCCATATTGTCCAAAGATTAACATTTTGTACCAAAAAAGATGGTAAGAAACAGAATAGATCTAAGCAAGACTTTACAAGATTTTTTCCTTTTAGCTAATGAAAAAAGCCAAGCCAAAAGTTTTCTCAATTTTATATAAATGCAAATGAATTTCTAATGGGTATTTAATATACCAATCCTGGTTGTTAAAATAATTAATTTAAAAATAAGTACAACATGCATAGATTATTCCACATAACATGCTTTATTTGGACTTAAAACACTTCATTCTAAACACTTGGTTGACATACTTTTTGGTGTATGTAGTTAGGCTATACAGAATACACAAACCAAAACTGCAAGAATATTACATAGGTTTTTCAAAAATTATGTTTCATAAAGAATACAAAGAAAGGAAAAATAACCACACATCCAATATCTCAGAATTTCTAAAAAACAAAACTACAGAGATGTAAAACATAAACAGGTCAGAGAACACACCAATTATCATCCTTGGAAAAAAAAAAGTACAGGCCAGCATCTGCCATTCTTTGAAGAAATAAAATTACTAAAGAAAACACAAATTTATTACAAAGCTAACTATGAGTGTACTAATATGTAAAATAATGTGAAATAGTATAATTCTATATTAACAAGTTTTTCCACAATATAATGTAATCTTGCTAAATCAGTAATCTCTAATCCTATCTAGCATGACTTTAATGACTGACTTTAATCACTGGTAGCTTCATTTCTGGCATACAGTATGAAATGACATAATTTTATTAAATTCAAAGTGCTATAAATAGTCAATTTTAAACTATCTGATAAAGGTGTATGCAAAGGCCTTCTTAAAAAACAAGGCTATATGAATATAATAAAACTAGTTTACCAAGATTCAAATAACAAAATGGTTATATAAATGCACACATTATACTTTCTAAGTAAAAACCATCAAATTAAAGATCACAAAAATATTACCACAAAGTCATATTTTTTCACCACTCATCTTTGTCCCTGCATCTTCATTACAGCTGTCTAATTCAGCAAGATCACTGTTTGATTCAGTATGGCTTTCCTGCATTGTCACTGGGTTTCCAGCATCACTGTGCGAAGAGGTAGCTGTAGCAGCTGGGCCAGCAGGGTTTTCTTCTCCCTCTACTTTAGCTAGCCTGTAACTAGTCAGCATCTCCTCCAGAAGGTGTCGGTAGTTTCCCCTATGATTAATTCTCATTTGCCTGAGAGCTTCCACCAATTTTCCCTGTGATCCACTTTCCTCTGCTTCATCGGAGGCCTTTTTTTAAGATTTAAGACCCCAGTGTCAGTAGACAAACTAGGATATCACATAACATATCACAGCAAACACTCATTTCTCTACCATGAGTAATATAGTCTAAGCATGAGAACATTTCATTAAATAAGTATCAAGTTTTACTTGCGTCAATTAATAAAAATTTGCAATTCAAATACTGTCATTTTTAGCAGATTACCATTAACTAGTACTGTCTTACTTCACATTTTCATTTGAAGTTTAATCTGAAATGTACTCTGCTATTAGAACTCAACAGCAACACAAGCATTTCCTAAAACTGACTAACTTCAACAGTAATTGGCTGAAGTGATTTATATATAGCACAAAAGGAAATTAGTGTTTAAAGCAACAAGAAAGGACAGAAAGCAGGCCATTAGAACATTAACTTCATTATCATTGCCACTAAGTGACAGGTAGGAGAGGAAATACAAAATGTGAAAACTATAAATTTAAACTGGATTTTGGGGAAATTTTTTAAAGGTTTTGTAGATACAAATTTATTTACTTTCATCTTTAATAAAATCATCTCCAGCTAAAAACAGACATTTTAAACATTGTAAATAAGATATGAATAGGAAACTACTCAAACCTTTCATTTTATTTAATTTTGGAAAGCTTACAAGTTTCTACAATAGTAGCTATTTAATCTTGTTAGCAAAACAAGCTCTAATGCCCAAGCCAAGCACAAACTTAACAGCATGGGCCTTGTGATGTGATGCACTAGGGAGTAGACACACGTCCTATGTTCTTACCAAAATTGTTTAATATAAAAATAATAAAGCTAATTTCCCATTTACAAATAACAGGGAATAGAGGATCAAGTTAAAGGACACCACAAGGAAACAAACATACAATCCAGAAAGTAGGGCATCCTATGAAAAGCCAGCTCAGATTCCTCATATTCAGGCCAAGGGGAAAAAAAGAGCAGGTGCTTTCTTAAAGACTTGCTTAATATGCTTGATTGATTAACAACCTGATCAGACAGTGGTTCAAAATAATAATTCTAACAGTCATTCTAGGGACAAATGGGAAAATGTGGACTGGATATTATATTAGATATTATTAAATTTATTATTAATATGATAATAGTATTATGGTTAAGTAGAAAAATATCTTCATTCTTAGAGGTGCATGCCAAAACACTGAGGTAAAATATGATGTCTGCAATCTGCTGTCAAAGGCTCAGTCAAAGAGAGAAGAGTGTATATATGCACACACATATAAAGATGAAGCAAATACGGTAAAATATTAACACTTGCTGGATCTAGGTAGAAAGTATACAGGTGTTCACTACAATCATTTCAATTTTTCTATTCATCTGCAAGTTTTCATCATAAAGTGTAGGGAAAATAAAATACAAAAAGCCTACTGATATAGATGATCTGAAACAAACTCTCAGCCATCTTTGGAGACTGTTCCTCTACAAATCTGCAACAAACACTAATATAACCGCATAATAAACAGCAATGTTTACTAGAAGAAAAAGAGCATTTGAACACTTAAAAAAAAATGCCCCTGTAGCAAAAAGCAAGAGATATATGACACTGTGTATAGTAAATGGTTTTTTTTTTTTGTGTGTGTGTGTGTGTATATATATATATATATATATATATGTCTGTTTATATGTTCATTTTAGAATATTATAGGTAAAATGCCTGGAAAGAAAGTAAATACAGAAATACATAATGATAATAGGTAGCAAAGTTACTAGATACTTCATTTTCTTTGACTTGTCCAATTTGCTATACCAAGCATATTGTCAAACATTCTTTTTTAATTTACAATATTTATTGTACAGTGAGAGCACAAGAAAATGTGCTCTCCTAAGATTAAAAAAAATTTTCCCCCTTGCCTTTCCTTCTGTACTAAATAAACATATTTCCCTAAAAGTTTCTCATTTGAATCTATTCAGGAAAAATTAAGATAGAATAAATAAGTGCTTGCTAATCATAAACGTTATCAGTCTTCAATCATGTCTTTGAAAAGGAAATTTTCTACTTGATATATCATAAAGAACTTTTAATGGAGGGCATAAGACCACCCCCCGGCCCGTGCAAATGCCCCCAAATAAGCACCCCTTTTCTATTAAAAAAAATAATAAAACCTTCTAGGACATGCACAAAGTGAGCAGTGGATTTACACATAGAGAGAAGTGATTATCAACCCTGGTTTCACATCAGGATCCCCTGTGGAGTTTTTAAAATTATAAAATCCCAAAATTCCATCCCATGATATTCAGATGCAGTGGGTTGGGGGTGACTTTTTTTAAAGCCTGCATGGCAGGTGATTCTGATATACAGCCAAGGTTGAGAACCACAGATTCAGACTAAATAGTATAACTGTTTACTTGAACTTATTGACAAGGTTGGATCAAAGACTGTTACACTGGTTGTAGTTCAATTTCGGTGACTTCAAAAGATGAAGCACCTCTAACTCCATCTGACACCTTTACTACCACAATAATCATCCATGTACCTGTGAATTGCTATAGTAGTGGTAGCTGGGAAGGAGTATCTGCTTTTTAAAAGACACATTAAAACCGAAACTGTAAGTCAAGTAAGGATGGATTTAACAATGGCTGGCATCATAGAGCCACTGAATCGCAAAGAACTTGAGCTTAATGACTACATTTAGAAGTCATTTATCTTACACCAAACTATACTTTCCTATTGTGCTGAATAAAAGATGGGTAAAACCTCTTCCCCAGCCATATCATTTGATTATTCAAAATACTGTAGTTTATCTATTATAGCAATTAATTCCACCTTGTAACTGTTCACAAGTCTCTCCAAATAGACTGTAAACTCTGAGGTAAAGAAAATGTCATATTCCTTTCTGTACCCTCCCTACCACCTACAGAAGGGAAGTGTGCTGTAACAACTTTATATACACAATTTCATTTAGTACTCTACATAATAAGTACTGCAACCCTAATTTTTGTAAGCTAAGAAACTAAGGCTCAGAATGATTTATTTGTCCAGGTGACAATGCTAGTGACAGAGCTCAGATTTGTACATAGGTGTAACTAACATTAACTTCCCTCTGAATGCCCTTTCAAATACATTACAGTAAGTAATAGTTTTTGCACAGTAAGTGCCCCTTATAC